TTGTAGATTGTATTAAAATTTCTTATTAGAGTGAGGGCAGGGACAGTATCCAGCAGCTGCTATGCTCAGCTAAGACAGAACCTGTGGGGTGGAGAACCTCCTCCTCCCCTGAGGCCTCCCTGCATTAGAGAAGGTTTGTTCCCAGCTGAGAGAGGAACTGAGGTGACACTTGGTTATAAAATAAGGCTGTAATTTTAAGAATTAAACTTACCTTGACTTTCAAACAGGTGACAAAAGTCAAGTGGAGTGGCACCAGTTGCCTGTTGATGTCTCATTGGAATGGACCATCTCCCACAAAGGTTTTTGCATCCTCTGTGTTGGTACCAGAACAACTGTCAGAGAAGCTGTGCTTCTGTCCTGTGAAGGATCTGATAGAAACATTGAAAATAAGAAATCATATTCTGCTTTAAGAAAATTACCTGAAGTGTGCATGTTTTAGAGGAGCCACTACAGCCTCAGTCTCTATCATCCAGAAGCATTAGGCACAGAAACCCCTGTTTCTACAGGAGGTGAGAAACAGAAACCCTTTTGCTGTGAACCTTTTACTTTCCTTAGCCACACAGCTCTTGCAAGAAATTACAAAGCCAAGGCATGTGATGAACATGATTTTAATTACTGATGCCACTGTGCCAGGAAAGGGTGCTGGTTCTGGAAGCAATAAAAAAGCAGCAGGTTCCTCTGCTTATACTTATCTTTAAAGAGACTTTTTCTCCTTCTTCCATGCCCTCAGAACTCTGCTGACATCACTTGGGCCTCTGTACTTGGTCTGGCTAAGAGGACACTTTCTGACTTCCAAGAAAAACAGATGGAAATTCAAAAAGCTTGCATCTGGCCTGTTACACGACCACCTGGGCTTGGGAGTCGTCAGGGCATTCCCAGTTCCATTTTGCTTCCTATATAATAAATTAAATGACTGTCAAAAAAAGAGACATGCACAGAAAGCAGAGAACACTTGAAGAGTTACCATAGAATTACAGGATGATTTGGGCTGGGAGGGACCTTAAAGATCACCTGGTTCTACTCCCCTGCCTTGGGCAGAGATCTTACCAATAGATCAGGATGGTCCATGTCCTGTCTAACCTTGAGCAATTCCAGGGATGGGGCAGCCACAGCTTCTCTTGCCAACCTCTCCCAGGGCCTCACCACTCTTTTAAGAATTTATTTCTTTATTTTTTTAAAGAATTTCTTTCTTTCTTAACATCTAATTGAAATTTCTTCTAGTTTAAAGCCATTCCCCCTTGTCCTATCACTGTCAGTGTACAAAGTCCCTCTCCCTCTTCTTTATAACTTCCCTTTGAGTAGTGAAAAGCCTCAGTCTCCCTGGAGCTTGGAAGGAACTAAACTCCAAATAAGCCACTCTTTTTCCCTCCCCCTTCCAGTGAAGGAGGGACAGTAAAGGAGAGATTATGGTTTGAAATAGCAATTTGCTAACACCAGAAAGCAGTGGAATAACAATAACAACAGCTGTATTAATAGCAAAAATACACAAAAGAGAAGGTGTTTCACCCACAAAAGGGTATTCACTATAGGGAACAAAAAAACCATGCTGGCATGTGCTTCCAGTTGATCCTGCCTTTGTCCTGACCATTCCTCTGCCCTGCTCTGTGTAGTATTTGGGAAACAAAGGCAATATGGGGAGGAGAGCTCCCATGGTGGATGTCCCCCCCAAGCCTGAAAACAGCAAAAACCAGAGACAAACAACCCCCAGAAGCTCCTTGTTCAAATCAGAGTTGTGTGGCTGCTTCACTGAGCCTGGTTTTTCTGCAGATGCTTGTGCTGCCACCTCTGCACTCCTGGAGAGGAAAAATGTCCCTGCTGGGTGCTGGCCTGGTGCCACCTGGTCCTGCTGGTCCAGCAGCAGCTCAGAGCTCCAGCCCAGAGAAAAGGGGAGGGGGAAGCAGCAGAGGGGCTGTGTGGTGTAGAATAAACACACATATGGTCAGCCCCATGCAGTGCTAAACTCCACCTCCCTTCCCTGTAACCACAACAGCTCACACAACCTGTTCTTCAGGTATTGAACAGCCTGAGTGTTCAATAAAACTCCCTCTGAAGCCAAGATGCACATGGATTATCAACTATTTGTCATTGCCAAAAAAATGGTTATTTTTCACAGCTCTTCTTCTTATGGACAGCCAGACTTTACTGCTTCCTTCTGCTTTAATTACCAATAGTAAAAGATACAGTGCAGTTTTTTCCCATTCACCTTTCCTGGATAAAATATTTTTTACAGTGTCTTTTAAGAGACTTTATTTTCCTGCTCCACATGCAGGCAGGAAGACTGCTATCCTCTGTTAAAAACCAGACAAATTCAGCCACAAATTCTATTCAGGAAAGCTAGTAGAGATTTAATTGTGATGACAGTGTTTCTTTTAATCTAGTCACTGAAGATCCCTAAATCCTACTATGTAGCACTTTGTAAAAGCAAAGAACAAAGTATTTTAAAACATTGCATACTGACACCATTTCTGCTTCTGTGCTTTGCATAGTAGCTCCTTGTTATATTATCTGCCTTTGACTGAAGTTTTACTACCTGCTATGGGCTTTTTTTCAGAAAAAAAAAAAAGGATAACTTAAAAAGGAAAAAAGGAAGGTACCAGTATGTGTCTTTTTAGCAGATGTGAGCTTCTTAACACTTAATAAACTTATCACTTCCTAAACTTAATTGATGAGTCTGCTTACTGCATTTTCATAGCATACTGCCACAAGTGGTTTTACAGCTGTCTGCTACAAGCATAACAAAGAGGAAGATTGAAGCAAGTTCTTTAGTACTTTTTTTATTAAATATCTGTTTATGAGGGGTCTAGAATGGGAGCAAGCTTCTAATAAGTTTTTTCTAAATGATCACAATGAAGGTAAATTACTCACCACACGAGAATGAATGATGTTCAAGGAAGTGCATGATTCTATGGTTGTAATCTGAATTTTTTATAGATGGCCACAATTCCTAGAATTTGAATATGGCATTAATCTGAAAATGGCTAACACTCCAACTATCTCAGTATTTGTAGTGGTGCTCTTGTTATCAGTTGGAATGTCCTGCTTGGGTACTTGGTTGCAAAATAGATGAATTCACCTGTATTCATTTTCAGTTCTGTGAGGACCACATGAAATACAGCTCTGCTGCCACAGTTTTTGGGGAGAGAGCAAGCACTGCACGCTGTCAAGCACTCTGATCCTTCCTTTGCAATTGCACCACAATTTATTTCACTTTCCAAAATGTGGTATCTTCCAGTCTTTCCTTGGTTCTTATTTATAAACATGTTTGCTTTTAAATGTATTTGAAGTATTTTACAGAAGTACAAATTAGTCAATCTCTTGTGCTGCTTCTGCAGCCAGGTGATGTGCATTGCTGTGAAATGGAAGTGTATTATCTGCACACATTTGACAACAGATGTGTGTGCCAACAAAATAATTTTATTTAGAATGTAGTTTCTTCTATGAATGACTATTCCCTGAAACAGTCCAGAGCTCCAGTTTTGGTGGAAATGTGTCCTCACTGGTCACTAAACAGATTTATTTATTCTTCAGGTATGGTATGGACAAGGACAATAAGGGGTTTGCACTTTGTTTGAAGCATTTCAAAATATATGCAGAATTTACTAGCAACATGTAAAATTCCATTTGTTACCTCTTTTTTCCCAAGGAGAAAACACCAGATATTTTGAGTTACAGGATGTGTACATTAATTCTCTACCTTATGTTTGGACTAGAAATTAATGACAAGCAGAAATATTATTTTTATCTTTTTCTAAGATATAGTCAATGGTGACTAGGTATAGTCAATGATGCAAAGGTCACTCTTTGATTTATAAATAGCTTTATAAATAGTTTGCTGGCTTTTCACGTGTCCTGTTCATGCCTTCAAGTTTGTGATTTTGACATAATAGTTCAGTAACCCAGTTCTAATGGCTGAAAGTACCAAGAGAGAGAAGACTTGAGCTGGGGATAAAAATAAAAACTTCACAAATTCAGGCTTTTTATGGCACTTATTTTCTCACTATATAAAACTTACTATTTTATATTTACTTGTACGTAAGTTTATCAAAATGTGTAAGTGAGGCTTGGTGAAAATAATCTGCTGTTGTAACCTGCTGAATGAAGAGATGGCTTGTCGTTGTTCAAATGCTAAATAGTTTTCTCTTGCATTGAAATCAGAGAGGGAAAAATCACCTTTAACTCACATATTGGTACTTTTTTCACACTATTTTTTAATAACATTTACTGAAGTAATAAAATATGTGAGGTTTGTAAATGGTTAAAAATGGTGTTGCAAATATGACTCAAACATGTATTTTCTTTTTTCTCAAGACCAAAGTTAACAGTGTTTGATCAGAGAGAGAGATACAGTGTCTGATGTTAAAACCTTTCCAACCTCAGCTACAAAAATAGCACCACAAAGATATCACACTTACAGCTGCAATGTACATAAAGTTTACGTCACCCCAAAGATCAAAGCTGAATGATGTAGGGCTGAAGGTGGAGCAGTCCAGCTGCAAAGTAACAGCTATTTCTAAGTTCAAGTGAACCACAGCTTCTCTCAGTGTTTCCACTGCCTCCCTCAAGCCAACACAACAGCAGATGCTGCTGTGGAGAACTCTGCAGCTCCAGATCTTCATGGCCTCCTTTCCCCTGCCCGTCAGGATGGTGCAGAGGGGACGCAGGGATCTGTGTCCAAGGGTGCTGGGATCAAATGAGCTCCATCTGCACCTGCACACAAACCCCTGCTGCGTTTGAGCCAGACTTTGGGAGGAGCTCTGGAGCCAGACTCAAGAGGATGGCTGCTAGTAAGAGACTGTGATTGTCACCAGGGACTCTACAACGTGATCTTCTTTTTAGCTTTTGGAATGCATGTAAATTATGGCTCAGGTAACATTAATGAGGGACCAGAGAACTATTCTGCACTTCTGTTAGAGCTTTTAAATGTAGTACTTCTTTCTACATGTAGATAAGAACCACTTCTTAGAAATAGCCTTATTCATAGAGGAAGAAAAACAGCAAACTGTTTTGGAGGGGTTTTTTATTATTTTTTTAAGAAATATAAAAAAAAAAACACTTTTCCCCCAGTGGCTGGGCTATTTACTGCTCTAATACTCAGCTGTTGACCCCTGCTCTATTTACATAAACAGGTTCTTGTTCTGTATTCCTAAAGAAAACTCAAATGTGGCTGATTGGACAGTTCAATTTCTAGTTCACCAGAAGATCTCTCAATTCTGTGGATTTGCCAGGACTCTGATATTCACCTTGTTCTTCCTCAGGGAAATGGCAGCTGCAGGCATCATCTTCCTGAACTGACTGTTCAGGGGTGTGCACTGAAGAAAAAGAACAGATTGACAGAATCAGTTAGGTTGGAAAAGACCTCTGAGACCCCTTAGTCCAACCCCTGACCATTCACGCTGTAAACCAGACCAGAGCTCTGAGTGCCATGTCCAGTTGTTTCTTGAACACCTCCATGGACAGTGACTTCGTCACCTCCTGGGTAGACCCATTCCAATCTTTAACAACCCTTTTTGGGAAGAAATTCCCCCTCATCTCCACCCTGAACCTCCTCTGGTGCAGCTTAAGGCTGTGTCCTCTTGTCCTGTCACTGGCTCCCGTGAGAAAAGGCTGATCCCATCTGGCTACAGCCACCTTTCAGGGAGGGCAAGGTCTCCCCTGATCCTTCTTTTCTCTTGCCTAACCCCATTTTCCTCAGCCACTCCTCAAAGACTTCACCTTCTAGATTCTCCCCCAGCTTTGTTACCCTTCTCTGGATTCACTCCAGCACCTCAATGTTTCTTGAAGTGAGGAGCCCAGAACTGGACAAATGTCCCCTTTCTCTTTCATTTATTCAGCCATCTCATTTCACCATCCCTCAGTCACAAATGCAAGATGTCAGGAAGAAAAAATAAATCTTCCAAGTAATTCTATAATCTGAAATTATTCCTCTACAGCATGTATATCTGATAAAATTAATTTATCACACTTTGTTCTCCCTAATTCAGCAGGGCCTCTGGTGCTCTGTTCGTCATGGCAATGAAAGGAAGACCAGCATGCGGGAAAAAAATTTTTGGACTGCTGTAGTCTTCTGTATTTAGAGTTACACTAGAAGATTCAGACCTTATCCTTAGAACAGGGGAAAAGAAGAGAAAGGGAGAGAGAACTCCCCAAAAAACCGAACAAACCAACTACAAAAGACATTGAATGGAATCAGCTTCATCTTTGTGCTGAACTCTTGTGCTTGCCCAGGAGTTATCAGCTCTCAGCTGGACTCAGGCTGACTCTGCCCCCGTGTAGCAGCACACCCTGACTGATGTCCCCTCTCCTGGGGAGTGATGTCCCCTGTCCTGCTGCAGCCAGAGCTCCAAGACACTCCCTGCAGGCCGTGTGTCCTCTGGGAGCAGAGAGAGCTCCAAAGTGTTACAGCCACGCAGGCCAAGGATGATGCTTGGAAATCATCAACTGAAATGACCTTTAACTGGAGCAGCTGAGTTGTTTCATCTCTCACAAACAGTCCACTTCTAAGGATAAGCATGCACTTGACCTAACACCCACAGTGCTTTCTGCAATAAAAATTCCAAAACTGTTTCCCTTTCAAGCTGCTTCTGACTTACAAGGCCAAAAAACCTGAAGCTATTGCAAGTACCTTTGTAAGGCACTTAACCTGGATTCCTGACTTCTGTCTAGTTTCAAAAAGAAAAACTGAAGAGCATATTTATCTTACTTTTCTTGAAGACAGCGTGTAGTTTCTTTTTGTGCCAGACACTGAAGCAGATACACAAAGGCAGCAGAAACACCAAGCACGACAGCCCAGCCACAGCGAGAGAAATCCTGATTGTGTCTGTCTGAACATCCTTCCCTAGGATATAAATAACATTCTCTAAGAATATTAACAGAACAAGATTCTACTGCCCTTGAATTAGCTGAAAACTTTGTCTCCCATTCTGCTTCTAGGTCAGTCTGCAACACTGGAAACGCATACAAGAAAGGACTTTTGCTTTAAATGGAAGGTGAATGAGCTACAGTATGTTTAAGTAGGTCATAATTCTTTACCTCCATAAGCAATATTACACAATGACTCACCTGGCACAGTGATAGAAAATGGAATTTCGAGAGATGTTGTAGGTAGAGTAGTGACTAAAGTGGAATTAACTGAAGCATGTTTGCAAATGACATCTTTTGCGGGAGTTCCAGGCTCCAGGACTTCGTTTCCAGAGCACCTGAAGGACATTTACAGCAAAACAGGGAAAAATTTTAAAAATTTTAAATTCCAGTAAAGTGTAATAGCTGTAGCATTTTAATTTTTTTTTCGTTTACTTACATTGTCCAGTTTTTACAAGAGCCATTGGGCTGATCATTAAAGGTTCCATAGCGGCAAGTCTGGCAACCTTCAACAGACAAGGACAGGTAAAATTGTACAAGATAACATTTAAAGCACAACATATGAAACATTATATTTGTACAATGTCAGAATTACTACTTCATAAGCTGCTCTGAGTATGCAAGGCAAGTCTTTCCCTGTCAGCCACAGCCCAATATAGAACTTGGCTAAAAAACCAGTTGATTTGGCACAAGATGCCACAAATCATGCCTAGCTCCAGAGTTCTGTTTCCCTCGTGCTGGCAGCCAAAGAGCTGCCATGCAAAGGGAACTAACTGCCGCATGACTTGAGCTGTGCTAGGGCTCAGTGCGGTGGGTTTCTCTGCTCCTGAGCTCACTCCACACACCGTGCAAAGTGTTTAGCAGCAGCGGCAGCTTTTATCTCGCCAGGTCCTTCCTCTATCTGCTTCTGCACTGTCCAAGAGGCAGTGCAGTGTGTCTGCTGCAGGAAGCAGAGGGGCTTTCAAATGCTGGGCAAAGGCGATCCTACCATTCCTGGTGCTCTCCTGGCCCACGCCACAGCTTCGGGTGCAGTAGGTGCAGCCATCCCCGCCGCAGCGATAGCCCTCCTTGCACGTGCACTCCGCATCGCTTGTTGAGGAACACTTTTTCAAATACTCAAACAGTCCTGCAAGGGGGAAAACCACTTTTAGCTTACAGCGTGCCCAGCGGGGTGCAGCAAAGGCTGCACTTTGCTCTCACAAGAACCGGGCTGGCGGCTTCAGCCCCGCAGCGTTATCCCCACCGGGCAGCTGCCAGCCCGTGCCAGCTGCCACGGGAGGTCACGGCAGGGCTGCTGGCGTCGCCGCCGGTACCTTCGCACCGCCGACACATTCTGCATCCGCCGCGTCCCGCCGCGCTGGAGAAGGTGCCGGCCGGGCAGGGCTGGCAGGACGCGCCCGCTCCCCGTCCGCAGCTGGCGCTCGCTACGAACGTACCTGCGGGACGAGAGAGCGGTCACGGCGGGCCGAGACACCGCGGGCACCGCGGGACGAGAGAGCGGTCACGGCGGGCCGAGACACCGCGGGCACCGCGCCCCGGCCCGGCCCTTACCCGCCGGGCAGTCAGCGCCGCACGGCAGCGCGGCCGCGGGTGCCGGGCTCAGCGCCAGCGCCAGCAGCGCCGCGGGCAGCAGCGCCCGGCCCGGAGCCATGGGTCGGAGCGGGGCGGAGCGGGGCGCTGCGGCCGGCGGGACTGCGCGCGGGACACCCGGCACCGGCCCTTAGCGAACGCCCCCGGGGGGCCTGGCTGCGTCATCCCGGGGGCGGCGGGGAAACCCCGGCCCGCGGGACTTTCCGGACACTCCCAGAGGCGCGACCCCTCAGCTCTGCCGGGCAGCGCCCGCAGAGCTCTCTCAGCGATGCCGGTCAGCGGTCGCCCTTTTCACCACTGGGGCTTCCCGGTGAGTGCCGCGTGGAATCCCCAGGAGGTGAAAGGCGAGAGGCGGGGCCGGCAGGCCGCAGCCGTGCCGGGGATGCTGAAAGCACATGGGAACCACCGGGACACGCACGGAACGGCGGAGCGCCCCCCGCCCGAGAGAGTCCGCACCGGCCGGCACGGGAACGGCGCGGCCCCGCCCCTGCGGCCCCTCGCAGCCAATCCCCGGGCCTGGCCCCGCCCCCTGCACCTCCCCGCAGCCAATGCCCGGGCGCTGAGCCGGGCCCGGAGCGCGGGCAGGAGCAGAGATGGTGAACGCTGCGGAGTGGGGTGCAGTTATCATTGAGAAGCGAACGTATCGGCCGTGTGTGTGTGTGCCAGTGTGTGTATGCCCGTGCCCGGCACACGGGCAGGCACAGCAAGGATCAGCCTGTCCAGGTTCTGAGCGGAGTCCGCTGTGGGCAGCACACAAAGCGCCCCGTACCGGGAGCTGAACCCCGCACCGATCCCAGCAGAGCCCTCAGCCGTCCTTCCCTGTGGCCGGCTCTCCTTCCCTGGACTTCAGCCGCTCTGCTGTTCGCCCGGCAGCCAGGAGCCAGACCGGGCCTGCCAGCCCCTGCGAGCCGGCTTTTACACAGCAGGGCTTTGCAGTCCCAAAGGTCCCCGCCAACAGCTCTGTCTGTCCTTCAAAACACCGAAGGGGCAACACCATCCCTGAGCCACAGGCACTCCCTGTACACCGTGAGCCTGGGGAAAGAAGCGTCGGGCAGACGCTTCGGACAGAGGGCGGAGAAGAGCAAGGCTCGGTTCTGCTCGGTCCGTGCGGGGCTGCCCGAGGGGCAGCGGCGGCGGCAGCAGCAGCAGCTCGGTTTGCGGTCGCGCCGCCGTACGACGTGACTCTTGTCTCGGCGGCGGGCAGCGGATCGCTCTCTGCGCTCCGAGAGACCGTGAGAACAGCGGAGCGTGCCGGCTGAGCGGGGCAGTGCCGGGGCGGGGCCGGGGCGGAGCGCCCCAGAGCCGCCCGCGGCCCCGCTGAGGTGAGTTGTGGCCGCCGCCGCTGCGGCCGCCGCGGGCCCGGCCCGGAGAGCCTTGGCGGGCGGGGGTGTCGGTGTGGGCGGAGGGTTCGGTGGCCGGGCGGGGTTGCGGTGCCCAGGCGGCCGCGGTGTTGCAGGGCCCGAAGCCCCGCGGCGTTGCAGGGCCCGTGCCGTCCCTGCCGCGGGGAATGGCGCCGTGTCCCACACGAAGAGATGGAAACGCGGGGATGCGGCCTTGCCACCCGGGCTGGCTGAGCTGCTGCGCCTGCGGCCGTGCCCTGCCGGTGAATAATGCCTGTGGTCGGGGCACTGGAGGGTGTGATTTTTTTAAAGCCACCCTTGTTAGAGTTTGTGATTCAACCCAAGTCACCATCCCCGGCAAGGCTCGTGTGCCCACGCAGGGCTGAACGCTTGGCTGAGGGGTTTGAGGCGGCCTTAGCTGCGCTGAGGAGCGCATGGGAGACTGGCATTTACTATGTGTAGGTAGCTTGTTAAATGACTTGTTAAATGAAGTTGCTGTGAGGTCTGTGTAACTTAGTTCTGCCTTCTCAAAAACTGTCTTTCCGTAGTAGTGGGACAGCTATTTACGTATGCATCCGCATGAAGAACAGTACTAATGCTCAAGAATTTGGCAGCGTTGTACAATAAATATCTAAAGGCACTATGGAGAGACTGCATTTAGCAAAACTAGGAGAAAGAGTAAAGGTTGCAGGGTCAGGTGCCTGTTTTCATCTAAAGAATTAATGAAAGACAGGGATGCAAACTGTCATCTAGACTATTTTTCTTCAGTAGAAAGCAAGTGCAGCATTTCTGCATGGTGGCTATTCAGGTAGTTTTTTGCTAGTCAAATTCATACGAAAATTTTGCAGAATCAGTGTGTACTTTCAGGCTATTAAGAAGCTCTAGGTTGTCCTGAAGTTATTGATAATACCTGTGATTTGGGTGTACTTGATCAGTGGGCTTTGCATTGACAGTACATAAGCTGCCCTAAAAGTAGGATTTGACACAGTGAATTATTCTGCTTGGGCTGGTTCAGCATGCTGTGGGATGTTGTGCTGTATATTACTGCATCCTAGAAATAACATTCTAAAGGAGGCCACCAGTAGGGAGAAAACTTGAAAACAGATGAAGTTGAAGCAGGGTGAGGATGATTTTATTTTATGTAGGCACCTAAACATGCATCACATTTTATGAAGAGCTCCCAGGTACTATGTGCAGTTCTAGATGGAAGGTCCCTGCACAGGACAGAAATCTCTGTCTTCCAGAGCAGTAACTCATGAAATGCCTCCTCACATCACAGATGCTTTCACAGGCTTCTCTCAGACCTGTTTGAGTTAGTGGGTATTTTACATGATGTAAAGTTATTTTAACTTAACCTTCAAATGGAAATCTGGCCATTCACCTCAACTTGAATTTAGAAGCTATAAAAAATAAATGTCTTAAGCCTGGTTTGTTCCATTTGCCAAGTCGTGTGGTCTGCTCCCCCATCACACGTGCACATGTGTTTCTTCCCCCACAAAGTTGCAAAATAACCCAGAAAATCTGTTGGTGAGATTTTGCAGGGGCTCTGGTCGACTCACTGTTAAGTCACAGGAAACTCCTCATGCAGCATGCTGGGTGGAAACTGAAAACCAGACATGAGGTCAAAGCTCCTGCAAGCCCTTTTTGTAAGTGCTGGCCTGGGTAGGAGTCAGTTGTCTCGGAATGAGTGAGGGTGTGCAAATTGAAAACAGCTCTGCCACCCACCCTGAACCCCTCTCTGGCTGACACAGGTCATGATTAAGGTCTTGATTAGGCCAAGCTGCTTCTTCTGGTGCTGATGCTTGCCCAAGTGCCTTAATCTTTTAATATCATAATGCATTCTTTCTAAAAACTTAGTTAAACAGGATGGCTATGAATATTGATTTATGCCAGTGAATTTTGAAGTGGTTTAAATGAACATGCAAAAGTGCAAATTACTGTTCAGTTTCAACATAAGGATTTGTACAAGGGGATTTGCCTTCTAACCACATTGTCATTCTATCCCCTCAGCCCCTTCCTTCACAAGCATCTCCCTAACAGCAGCTCCTCAAGACATGGCCTCCAAGAGAGCATTGGTGATTCTGGCTAAAGGGGCAGAGGAGATGGAAACTGTGATCCCCACTGATGTTATGAGAAGAGCTGGGGTGAGTATGCAGACAGTGAATAATCTTTGTGTGTGCATGGTCAAGGGGAAATCATTGCCTCAAGTTGATGTTCATTTCCAGGAATTCAGTGTGTGGTCTGTGAAATGAAAATTTACCCTCATCACCTTACTGGTTAGCAAATATTTGTGTCATGCTCTTAATGAGCATGCCTCACAACTGACATTTGTTGGTAACCTTTCAAAATACAAGTCTGATGTGGGCTAGAGCAAATATTTCAAGTAAATCCTACTCTGTCAGAAAACACAGCTACTTCCATGTGTAGTAACTGGAAGTGCCTCTTTTGTAGGGGTCTGAAAATGTCAGTACATTACAGCTCAGGACATTGCTTAGCTTTTCTTGAGCTACTTTTGAAATTCAGTTATTAACTACAGTTCTGGCTGTTGGCATTCCTTGCTCTGTTTGTTACTCTTGCAGTTGTAGTAGTACACTGTTATCACATTAGAAATGAAAATAGTACTTTAAATAAACACACCAGTTTCATGTATATAGAAATGACTGAAGTAAAAATTACCTTCTCCCACCACCTTTGTCATTCCATCACTGTGCTCCCCATTTTGGCTGTCATAAGAGGAGCAAGCTCTCAGTACAGCTTTGTTTGTTCAGTGTACTGCTTAAGAGCTAAAATATAAGAAAAATGCCCTAAATTCTTGTTTTGTAATAATGTCTTTGTTCTCCTCTTAGATCAAGGTGACTGTTGCAGGCCTAACAGGAAAAGAACCAGTGCAATGCAGTCGAGATGTCTTCATTTGTCCTGATGCCAGTCTTGAAGATGCCAGAAAAGAGGTTGGTCAGCACCCTTCTCTGATATAATGGCCAGAATAGTCTCTCTCACAGTCTCTGAGGTGAATTTGGAAAGCTTATGCATTACCTTTGGACATATGTTGCATGTTGTGTAAACTCTGTGCAGCAGTGAATTACAGAACTGTGCATCCCACTGTGCCTGCCTTCAGTGACATCCTGCCCCACAGCCTGCTACCTTCAGACAGATTTCTTAATTCTGCCCAGGTATTTGATTTTGCAAAGGGCCAATCACAGAGCTGTATTTTTCCTGTTAGTTGGCCTGACAAAATACTGTGATTTGGGCCAACTTCAAAGTTCTGATGGGAAGCTAAATAATGTTATAGTTAGACCTGTACAATAAGGTTGGAGCAAAACCACTTGTCTTTACAACACAAGAGCTGTCACTTGCTTGCTGAAGCTTTTAAGTGCACTAGGCTTAAAAGTCAGTTCTGTGAGAGACTGAATTTATAACAGGCTTTTCCTAGAACAGGAAATAGTATTTTTGTCATAATTGGAACTGGTTTTCTGATCATAAGGTGTTGTTCAGTGAAAGAAAAGGTAGATTTCTTTGCTTGCCACTTGAATCAGCTGCAGTGGTCTTCAAACAGGGTAATGTATTTAAAGAGTATAATGTATGTGTCAGCCTCTATTCAACAGAGCAGTTTTGTCTTTGTTTAGGGGCCTTATGATGTTGTGGTCCTGCCTGGAGGGAACCTTGGGGCTCAAAACTTGTCTGAGGTAAAGTTCTGGCATTTTAAAAATTCATGGGCATTCTC